GGTCCCTTCCAATCCCTAACATTCTGTGTGACTTGTGTGACAGGAGTCAGCTAATTTCAGACAGTTTTTCAGTTTTAATGCATCTGTACAGTAGGAAGCCCCAGAAGCCATGTGTGCTCATCTGGTATGCTTTTTTCTAGCAAGTGCCTGTGTAACTGCCCTATTGTATGAGTCCTGTGTTCATTTGGACAAGAAAATAGGTCTTTGGGCTCTGTGCATTTCGAGCAGAGTAGAAGCACCAAGAAGTTCAGTGATGTCTGAAGGGAAGGACTTGAAACTTTTGAATGTGGCTGTATATTGTGTTTTATGATGATGTCCATTGGCTAACAGGGCTACTCTATATTATGTTGCATGACCTGGCAAAAATACAGTGTTATGTCAATACCTTGTTTTGCTGAATCTGTGATGGGAAGAAGGGTGCGTTGATACAATTACCTTACTAAAAAGGAACTATGTTTAATTTCATGGAATGCTCATGGCTAGAAAAATCCAGTCATAGAAAGCACAAAATACTTATTTAGCAATACAAAATATTTCAGGCAGCCAATTCTATTCTGTATTACTTGTAATAACAGTACACCAATAATGTGATTTTTATTTTTTTTCCTCAGATTATTCAATTCCTGTTAAAATTGCCATTATGCCATCACTTTTGTAATACTAAGACTTCAAATTCAAGGGTCAGTTATTCACTTATCTAAAGATAATAAAGCCATGTTTATTATAGAAATGGATTTCGCCATAGTATTTAAATTTATCTGTAACAATAGATGTTGCAGAGCCAGCTCTTGAATGAAATTAGGAAATAGGTTATAATAATTTTGTAATCCCAATGCAATTTATGGGTTTTGTCCTCTTTGGACTTGGGGTCTTTTGATGGCACTCTTGTCTGTTGCACCTGTTTTAAACACAAGGTGGAAACTCATAGTGTGAGAGTAAGTCATTTGAATTACTCTGTGAACAGAACTTTCCCTTTTACGCTCATTTTTGAAGCAAATACGGTGAAAAGATAGGGAAGATGAAATTATTTGTAATGACTGTCAGTAGATGTATGTCTCGAGCAAGATTTGTGTCCCGGAATTAACACTTCATTAATTAATTTCAGTCTTTAGATTTAACACGGTCGCAAGAAAGTAATGTAATCCTTGTAGCTTCTTTGTTCAGAGATACCGTAGTGATGCTAGCATTGATGGTTGTTTAAAATTAACCTTTTTGGAAATTGCCTTTTGAGCTAAAGACCTCATTGGATCTTGTACAAAAAAAAAAAAGAAATACCTCTGCTATTGAATAAACGCAGTCCTGCTTGTATCTGCACATACGTGTGGAATTTTGTTCACTGTTGCACACGTTGCTGATGGGTAGGTTGGTATGTAGCAAGAGCACCATCCTTAGTGGCTCCTTCAGCCGTAGTCGTAACTAGAACCAGCATTTTGAGGCTGTATGATTCCATAACAAAGCTCATGTAACCCCAGTAGTTGTAAAGGTGTACGGGTCAGGTTTATCTGAATACTCATTCTCAAGATAAGAAACAAATGGAACTGTTCCTATTTCCTGTTCTTGGTGAAAGTGCTTTAATATTGTTCACGTGGTGTTAAAAACATTTATTTCACTTAATGTCTTTTTTAAGTATTATGTAAAAGATCTCACTAGCAGTGCTGCTGTCAAAGTTTCTATACCTGCTAAGTTTTTCTGCTTACTGCATGGAGTAATGTAAAAAAATCTTTGTTTTAGGAAATTGTATTATTAATTTTTATCATCCTCCATGGCTGGCTGAAGTATTTCATTTGTTCATTATGTAGTCTCCTTTAATGTTCAAAGTATGTAAGTGTAGCAGTCCTGCTTGAATATCAAACCTAGCTAGGGAGGAGTTGAGTGGTGACCAAAAAAAAACAACTCGACAGCAAAGGAACTGAAGGGATTTTGGAGTTGGTTCTGGGATGCCTGTTTTGCGTCACTTTGAAAACTTAGATACAAGTGTAGAACAGGCTTATGAATACCACCACCTCTTTTTCTCTTAATATTTGTGAAGAAATCGTAGCATCCAGTCCATTGGTTTTATAGAGTTGATTCCCTTTTTGCATTTGTAACTGATTGTTTCAGGTTTCATTAGCATGGTGTAGTTTTTAGAGCATAGTATTAATCCTTTGTTAAAGACTCGTTTTGCTGACTCTCTTTGACTTTTTAGAGCCCGCTAACAGGATGCAAACCATTGATCAGAGTTCATGCTGTTTGCTCTTCTTTAAAATTACTGCTCAACACCTATTTCATTGCTGAATGTCTCAAATGAAAAAAATAGCGAAAGATAGAAGCATTAAGAAATGCAATTTGACAGTGATTTATGGATTTTTTTTTTTTTTTTGAAGATATTAGCTTGGGCTTGGACACTTTTTTGTTTAAGAGAATTCTGTGTAATGTGTAAAAGTAAGCAGCTGTGATGCTGTTGTCCCAGCCTTAAAATTGCTTGCACACATTTTTACTGCTCATGTAACAGCTCCTGAAATTGGTATATATTTGCCATGGTCTGTGGATGGGGTTAGTTTTTCCCTGCAGTTAGCAAAGTGTAGACAAAAAATAAAAAGTCAAATGGCTGTGCTCTGGGCTAAAATTTATAGTTCTTCTCATTACAGAATTAAGTCCAGTTTGTGCAACTTCAGTTATAATGTCGAGCAATATGGAATAAAGAAGTTGTGCAGCACCTTCTCTCAAAAACTTTACCTGCTATACCATTTTAAGATTGCCTATTGTAGCTGAAAGGATTTTAAAGCACACTGCAAATACAAAGGAATATAAGTTAAAACTCATGTTCAAGTCAATAGAAACTCAGCCTGCCAAGGCTTCTAAAATAAGTGACTTATTTACACAGGTACTGTGTATTTACAGTTTCTTGGTTGCATTTTTGGTTGCCTGGTGGAAATAAAAGTCAAGCAACACTCAATTTATTTAAAAATCAATTTAGGATTGCTATTGTGACTTTCAACTAAAATGTAGCCCACTCAAATACCTTGTGTCAAAACAATATTGGAAAGAGAGAGTGGTGGAATATTTTTTGTCCAAAATGCAGTCAAGGATTGCCCTAACAATTTTTTCTAGTCAATCAATGCTTTGCTATGCCTATTCCAAGAACTGTTCTTGTTCCTTGAATCCTTATATTGAATGGTGGGATGAGGTTTTACTCTCTCCCATATTAATATTCTGTAGGATCAGAAAAGGGAGGGGAAGAAAAAGGTACACAAATTCACCACTGCTAAGCCAAATTTTAATATGTAGAAGAATGTAAAAATGAGAAAGTTTGTTAAAGACTGGCAGCTAAGAGAATTCTGAAAGGAGTCATAACTACTGCTAAGTCTTTTGTCCAGTATATGAAGGGCTGAAAACGTGCTGGCTAGTCTGTAGGACAACCCATGACTAGAATATAAAAGAAAACTCAAGAAAGCTAAAAGAAACTGTGTAGATTCCCAGGCTGTAGTCCTGGTTGGGAGACACATAGAAAGAGATTGCTATAACTTCATGATTCTGTCAACTCCAGACAAAAACAGACAGATTGAGCACAAAGAAATTACCAGAACTAGCTGGTATTCATTAAGAGCTCTAAGGAAATTTAAAAGTAGAATAGCTGAATTTCAAACAGCAGAGTGCAAGTTTTTGGTTCTGTAGTATTAGCAGGTGTAACTGTGATGCCAAAATCCAATTTCTCTTGGGACCTTGAGAACTAGATGCAGGTTAATGTGTTGTCTCTACCACACAAATTAATAGAAATTGTAATAAAATAAATTTTCTGTAATATGAAGTCTTGCTTTATATATTTCTTGTAGTTTTCTGCAAGAGTCGGGAAGCCCGATCAAGTCAGTAATTGATTCAATGTAGGTGACTAACCTGCCAAAACCAGGAGGCAGATAGTTGGAAAAAACTTATGCTAGTGGTATGAAGTGTTCAAGGTAGTAAGGAGGAGGCTAATTGGGGAAAAAAAATGAGAGAAAGGCCTTACGAGATTTAGTAATTATGCAGTAAAATGTCAGATGATATTCGTTGTAGGTAAAAATGAAGTGATGCAAGTGGAAAAAGCAGTCGTATGTTGTCACACAAAATGAGAGGCTTTAAGCAGGCTGTTACCACTGAGGAATAAGACGACGCAGTTCCGTGATAACATCAGCTTGTTGCTAGGCAGCAGATCAAAACCCAAATGAAATACTAGGAATTATTAGAAAAGAAATAGAGAACAAAACAGGGCATAATTATGACGACGCATAATGTTCACCCGCAAGCTGAGTACCATGTGCAGCTCTTCTCCCATCATCTCTATAGAGATACATTAAAGCTGGAAAAGGTTCGGAAAAGAGCAGTGGTGATGGAGATGATTCTCTCTATAATTACACTGGAGCTTTTCAAGAAAGAAATTCTGGGAATGAGTAAATCACTGGAAGCGCAGAGAGGGCAGATGGGGATGGAGAATAAGATGAATTAAGGAGTATCAGTTCAACCTAGCAGGAGCCAAGTTAAAAAAAATTAGAGAAGGCACTTCTCCACGGTGGGTAGTAAAGGCACCACTGAAAGACTCTGAGGGTTCAAGAATTTGGTGGTGCCTGGGAAGGGCTGGATGCCTACTTGGAAAATAGATACACTACGTGCTGATATACAGACAAATCACTACACAACAAACCACAAGTGATTAGAAGGTAGAGTATGAAGGCAGAAGGAAGTATTGGTTATGCTTGATCTCTCTTTTTTTTTTTTCCCCCCCAATTGTCGTTGCTGTTGTATGTAACTTGTAGCCACTCTTAGAGTGAGTTAGAATACAGGACTGTGCTGAAATGATAAACTGACTTCAGTTCTCCAAGGTGAAAAATAGTCTATGATAGAAATGAATATCGTGCCATTTCAGATAAATCCTAAAAAACATTATCTGATATATTCATCTTCAAATTCTCTGATTTTTTCATTACAGGGATAAGCACATTTTTGCAAGTCTCTGGGAATCATGTGAATTTTAAGAAATGTCTTTTAATATGAAAACATAGCACCATAAACCTATAAAAATGTCTCATTCATATGTCTCAAATTAGAAATATTCTTAAAGCACTAAGTAATGTACATCTAAGCAAACACACATCTTGGCTCTAGAATTGTCTTCCGCTTGCAAGAAAACTTACTGCTCAATAGAACTGAAGTACTTCAAAATCCGTCTGTCAGAAAAAAAAAAAAAAGAGATTTCTCAGTTACACTAAAGACTCCTTTATTAAAATATGTGAATTGTAAAACTGTTAGTTGGAGGAATTGTTCTTTACATGTCAGTTCTGTATTGGCAGTTTGATAACTGTGATGCCGTAGCACTAATATTCAAATGATTTTTTGTAAAATAGAGTAGGTGTTCTATAAAAGAAAAACTGTTCTTTATGAAAACTTTATTTCCATATACAGATAGCTGTTTGGAAGAATTTCCTACTCTGCTTCACTGTGCAGCCAGATTTGGATTGAAGAACCTTGCAACATTTCTACTCAATTGTCCTGAGGCCACACGGGCTTGCAAAATAACCAACAAATATGGAGATGATCCGGCAAGTATCGCTGAGAAGCACGGGCACAGGGAGCTAAGAGAATTAATCAAAGAATTATCGGTAAGTCCATATGCTTTTTCATATGTCATCTATAACCAGGGGACTATGATGATGTTCTCCTACAGTCTCTCTTGTTGTAAAGTGTAACACGTTGTAGTCCTTCTGTCTGAAAATATTATACTCCTCCTGTCTCAGAAAGGTGGGTCAAAACGGGATAGAGCCACTTTCTTTGTGCACTGTCATAACAGAGATCAGAGGTTTTGTGCTGCTTGAATTTTAGGCATGCAATGGAAGAACAGTGAAGCAGAAGTACCTCATGTGGCCTGGCTGTGTTGGTGCTTTCAGCGCCCAAACTGTGGTTGTGTTGTAAGTAGTCTAGCCCAACTGTCTAGTGTAGGAGACTAAGACTTCTTTAAAAGTGACTCTGAGCTCTCTTAGCACTGCCACTCTGCAGCATTCAACAAAGAGTGGTTGCCCTGCCTTGGCTGTCTGCTCCGCTGTGGAAAAGAAGGAAGGCTGAATTTTACCACCCTTTGTTGGAGTAAACCTTTCTTCACTTGGGTGTGCAGGAGGGGTTTGAGGCAATAGTTGCCTTTCCACATGGAAGATGATAGTAGAATAAAGATCTGTGCATAGTTCTGTCATGTAAACTATTGCCAATAAATTCTAACAGAACTGGCAGTACAAAAAGCAATATACTGTAGTAACATTTGAGATCTTTAACCAATTTTTAAGTCTTTATTGTGCTAACTATAATATAAGCAGAGATGATAGTTCTTGCCCCAGAGGTTTTAAAGCCTAGGGAACAAATCGGGTAAATCATACACTGAGAGAAAGACAGGATGTGAACGTTGGCATAAGTAAGCCTGTCTTGTGAAGACCTGGCACAGCTTTACTGATGGTGTGATTTTTTTTTTTTTTTTAAATTTTTTTTTTTGGTGTCGGACTCCGTGTTCACAGACAAATGGTAGCAACAGACATGTAAAAGGAGAAAATACAAGGAGTGAAAAAGCCAGAAATTTCACTTTTCCAATCATCCTGACGTAACCATGGATAGACATAAGACTAAAGATGGCATTTGAAGAAATATAAGATAATAGCTGTGTAGATTATGTAGGGGAGAATGTTTTGCATGACTAAGGAGGAAAATGCGAGAAACCTAAGGGTAGTTTAATGTAGAAGGAGATATCGTAAAGAATGGAAACACCAACTGACTGAGGTTAGTTATTAAAATTCTAGAGCAGGACATAGGAATTGGTCAAGTTTTTTGCTATGATACAATTGGCACCTAATGTCAAGGTGAAGGAGAGGCACTGGGAAGACTCAAGACAAGTTTACTGTGATAAGTATTGAACCATGAAGATGACTTTAGCAGTGTTTTATGAGCAGATTTTTTTTTTTTTTTACAATGAATTGAAGGGGAAGAAAATCACAAACCCAAGAAGGCGTTTTGGCAGAGTGGTCAAAATGCTGAATAAGAACATGCTATTTCACTTTCTGTTATTGTTGAACAGCTGTTGATACAGGCTCTCAAAACACCAAGAGTGGGAGAACATCTGCAAAGCAGGTATTTCTCCTTTTCTGAAGAAAGCTTATACCTAATTGAGGATGTGATCTGGTGTCTTTTCTGAAGTGACGGAATATTTTCCTTCCTGATCAGATCTCAAGAGCACTGCAGAGCTTTTTCTGTTGATGGAGTGCAAAGGAGTGTTGTACTACGGAGGGGATGCTTTTACCTCATTTTTTGATACTGTAGTTGAGATCTAATTTAAATGAATAAAATGTGATCCTCCCTACCATCCGGCATAAAGCTGCTCACAAAACCAGGCTGTCTTCCTGGATCAGCATGTTAGTAATTTCACGTTTGACAATTTATCATTGCTGTAGTTGTGTCGCAGTCATCCTTGCGCTGGTCAGAAAGCTCCTGCCACTAGCAGGCTGATGTATAAGGTCAGGCTTCTCAGCTGTTGGAGTTTACCAGTGTGCCTTGAAGACAGTGGAACTGTGTTCCCCAACATCTCTACCGGTGGATCTGGCTAGATGCTGTCTTTGTATGGTCAGGTACTCCCGGTACACCTTATGTGTAAAGGAGTGGTAAGACTAGGCAGAATGTGAATAAGGTGATATTTAACTCTCAGTGAGATACCTACATTTCTTTTCTAAGATGGTCATGTGAGTCAAAGAGTTGAGCATGAAAACATAGTTTCCAAGGTTAATTTATCATGTTTAATGATAATGGTTAATTCCCTAGGACATTTACTTTTCACGCTAGTGTTATAGAAACTCACTCCCCTGCAATTCAGATGTGTCTGTGTTGTACACCCCACGTGGGACTGGAGGCTTCAGAAAATGGGTGATTTTCTTTTTATCCTTAGAAACACATGCACATTCAACCTCATGCTATAGTTTGGGGCCTCTGTAAGAGGAGACATAAGCGTACATGGTACAGGCAGATTATAGTTAATATGCATTGAGAGTATATTGCACTTCTGTAGTCCTTTTACGTTTTGATCGACTGTCAGTGATGGAAGGCAGTGTTTGTGAGGGTGATCTATTTCACTCTAAAAAGCCTGCAAAGTATGTGCATACCTCTGATTAGCTTTTCTTTTTTAGTAGGATTATTATTTGCCCTAATAAAGTCTCAGTGTAAAATTATCCATCTAAAACATGGATTTATAGTGATAACTCTGACTTTATGCAATGTAATTTTTCATTCAGACAGTTTTTTCACAGTACATATGTGCTATTGTTTGTACATAAACAGTTAACAATAGTTGTTCTCTGCTCTTGATGACTGCTCTCCCGAGTGTGAGTACTTATACCAGCACTGAAGTAAAACCAACTCTGTTACCATCATGAGCATGTGTAGTCTGGTTAGGACATGCAGTTGTTCTACCCATTTTCAGTCGATTCAAGTGGCATGGCTTACTAACACAACACATGTAAAAATTGGAGCATGCTTTGAGCCTGCCAAATGTGTAATACGGTATTTTAGAAATCTTAGCTCCAACCGCTGGAAGAAAAATGGCTTATTTGTGTCCCCTGCAACAGTGCACTTACGAACAAAAACATTTACTGTACTTCTGTAATTGATGGGAATGTGGAAAAGAAATATTTGCATGGCTCTGAGCCAAGCAGAATTTAGTTTAGCCGCGTTCCAGGAACTTCCCGTTACAGCTAGAGTATTGAAATTGCTCTTTATTACAATAGAAGTACTTTTCTACTTGGCATACCTCTCACTGTTTTAAAATTGTCATCTGTGTTTTGCCATTCCTTTAAGCAGTAGCCCCCAAATATACAAAGTAATTCATCCCTTCTATCTTAAAAATGAATAGGGTTCCAGAAAAACGTGTATGAAAACACACGTTCAATTTGTTCAAAATCCTGGAAAGTGTTTTTCATTTGCCTTTGTGCTGGAGGATCCTTAGGAGAGTAAGAATTCCCTGAGGTGGTTAGAGAGGGAGAGGGAGCAGCAAAAGAAATGACAACACCACAGCTACTATTTCTACCTTCAAGCCCAGGACGTTGCTGTGCAGCCCTCCTTGGTGTCTGGTGAGCAGATCTGTGCTCAGGGCTTTTTGGTGATGCAGCTTTGCTGGTCAGGCTCTCCAGCTCTCATGTCCAGCAAGCTTACTGGAAAGGTGCTCAGGGCTCTGGTGGCAAAAGTGAGCTGTAGGAGCTGGCTAACTTGCACTCTGGGTCATCCATATGGCACAAGTTCCCTGTCCTTGTTCAAAGGGAAAACCTCTTTCCTGGAGCTGGGCACCAACAGTGTTGATGTGGGGAGTGTTACAGCTGCAGAAGACAGATCTGGAGTTCTTGGTGGGCATGCTGGGAGCTGATCTCCTGATTTGTGTCAAAACAAAGCACAAGGGAAGGATCACATAACATGTAGCATGCTTCTCTTGACATATCTGTATGAATGGGGAGGGAAGAGATTTTCCCTTTTTCTTACCAGTGTTATATGCAGGGTCTTCAAATGCTAAAACATCACACCCTTTAAGAACCTGGGTAAACGTGTGCTCCCACAAACAGCAGTGTCTGCCTTCTCTGTCAGAGTCCTGCATTTCAAACATTCCTTGGAAACGGCTCCTCTGAGCCTACATAAAAGTTCTGTCTCCTTTGTGCCAAAGGAACACTGCAAGACTTGATCCATTTGTGTTGAAGGTACTAAAATGATGGAGCTGTCCCTAAAAGCGTCTTTAATGTAGATTATGATAAAGCTCAGTTTCAAATGCACCAGCAGCTTATTAAGCAAGTTGTATTTTTCTTGCATTTTAGCACAAAGCCACCTAAATGGACTTTTATTTCCAATTTCTACATGTTTCATTGTAATTTAGATGAAGTAATTCCCTCCTCTATAGCTTAAAAGAGGGGTATCGCTTAACATTCTGCACGAACATCCTAAATTGTGACTTTGTCTTGTGATTTTATTCTTCTGTAGAACCGAGTCCTTGAATATTTTCCGTAATTGCTTTCAGGTTGAATTGCTTGAATCAAGTATGTGAGTTCAGAACTAGAAAGAGACATTCAGTAGAAATGCTGGCAAGAATCCTTGTCTCGGAGTGTCTGAACAGGAGAAACGATGAGTCTTTTGAGTGTGGTTGATCCACCTGATGGCTCAAACACCAGTAAGAAAGGCCAAAGTACATTTGCTTTCCGTTGGCCACAGGCTCGAAGCGTATCTGCGGTTGCGTGTTGCAGTGCCCGTCGCAGGTGGCACCTCGGTGAGCCGCAGGAGTCTGCTCAGATGTTGGAGCCCTATTTAACATATTTCTTTTGTATATGCTTTGTCTCTGAAAGCTGCTTAGACACCAGCTCCTTGTTCCTGTCGCCAGCTGTGGTCTTCTGAGCCTACATAAAAGTTCCGCCTCCAGAAAATAAAGAAATCGCTTAAATGGAGTTCTTATCCAGCACACAAAGGAAGACTTTAAAAAATAGAGGAGAGAAAATTTCTAAGCATTAAGTGACTAATGAGGGGAGTACGTGCAATTTGTGACCTAACCATGTAAAACTGGAGGTCGCGCTGATAGCCGTTTGGGGCATTTATGCTGTGGTATGGGC